TCCATAAGACTGAATGGTATCTGTATTATTGCAACCAGTGGCGCTCCCCCTGCTGGCTGTTACACAGAATGCAGGTTAAACACACTTCTTACCTGGAAGCTCTGTCCGTTATATAAATCATCATCGTCAAGTTTTTGGTTGCTTAAACTTCCATATTCATAGATTCTAGAAATATTAATGAGATTTTAAGGATTTTAATGTGGAAATTATCCTTTTTTTGTAGAAAAACCTGACAAACATTATTGTTCTAAGCAGACTGTGAATATATGTCTACACAAGAGTTAAACACAAGTGTCATAAAAGTTTATTTATGGATGAGAGACGTCCTTTCATATAACAAACTGATGCAAACCACTGTGGAACAATTTTAAGGCAATTTAAGCCAGAATAATAAATACACCCAACAGACAGACAGAAGGACGATCAGTGAAAGTAAAGTCTAATATTGGAAATGCTTCGGAAGTCAACTCAGCATCAGTCTTTGAGGAAATCAAACGTAAACGTTGTTGTGCTTGCAGAGGTTGTTCATCTGGGAGCATCAACTAAAGCGGCGTCGATGTCCTGGAGTGAATTATCAGTGGCGTCTTCTTCGCCTCCGACGACCTCCGACACCACCTAGGTGGAAGAACAGGAGGAGATTTAATGCTGGGGCAGTTTTTGTCTTAAAAAGGTTTAAATTTCAGCCAAAGAATGCTTTAATAATGGTTTCTTCTTTCCTGGACTTATATATGCGTAGATATGGAGTGATGGTGTCCACGTAGCGGCGCCCCGGGAGCAGTTACGGGTTTGGTGTGTTTCACCTTTCCACCAGTAATGTGGGCTTTTCTTTTGTGCTAGTTGGTTTATTTACAACACACAGATCTGTAAACAGGCTGTGTCGTAAAAAAAACAAATGAAACACATATTCTGAAAGTATACACGTCCAAATAATGATCCTGAAACCTGAATAATATCTGCATATCCTTCACGTCTTAATCGGAAAATGCTGTTCAGAATAAGGCCTAATTACAAATATCCAAATGGAATATGCTGTTTAAATGACCTTTATCTATAAAGTGGAATATATATTTTCTAATAGTGGAAAATTCGTGTGCGTGTTAACAATGAGAGAGAAGCCCAGCGATGTCCGATGTACCGCTTTAAAGACGGGCTGCGTCAAACATTCTGACAGTGACAGAAATGTGTTGACTACAAACAGTCAATATTATGTTCAGGAGGATTATAGAGGATGAAGGACATCCGCTGAATGTGGACAATATGGGTGGAAGAAAATATATAAACAAAGTCCTATGGTGGTATTTTACTCTGATATTGTATTGATTATAAAAACCAGTATAGATTCTTGTGTTTGGACTCCCAACCACTAGATAGCAGTGTTGTAAACATAAACTGAGATCTTGGATGTGTTCTTTCATACTATGGCTCAATCCGTAAAGAGTAAACACTATGGAGGTGTTTAAATCTCACTGTTCACGTGATAGTTGTGTAGTTATGAGCCTCCTGGTTTAATAAATAGAAATAATCCCAATTTCTTCCAGTGGAAACAAGAAAACTACTCTGATAAATCATTTCTGCTGTCGGTTTGGAAACTTCTACCCTAAAATAAACAAATTCTTTTTAATTTTCACCACTTTACCTCCTTCCTTTGGTGCTACACTTCCTCAGCCGGTTTGGTATCTGTACAAGTTCTTCTGTTCGCTGTGGTTTATAAGTACCGTCCTGCCTCCACAGTGAGCACCATCTCATGATCACTTGTTCATGAGCCGCTGTGACTGCTGTGTGATGCTGCGCTCGGTGTAGGAATGTGGCAGTTAGATTGAGAATATGTGTCTGACTGAGGTAAAGTTGTGGAAATGTTCTTATAGAGCACTAAACTGTGGTTAAAATATGTTTTTGTGCTGACCCTGCAGTCTTCAGTGCACTGCCAGGACTCCTGTCTGCTTCTCCAACCTGCAGACGATACAGACCGACTACGTTTCAGTTCCTCACCGTCTGTGGACGTCGTTCACCTTCGTTCAGACTGGACGCACGTTAGGAAACGACCTCTTAACGAACGGTAGTTTTAATGTACATAGGAAACGTGAGGATTGTTTCGAGACTTTAACCTGCATGTTTTCCCCTCCATTTATATCACAGCGTTCAGATTCACCAATCATTACATCTTCTGTCTTAAAATTGAGGTTGTGCTGACACAGATTGCAACCAAGCTTTTATTAGACCCATCCGGTAGTGTGACATACAGTGAAATTGTAGGATTGTTTGGCTTCACGATGACGAAGGCCTTAAATGAGAGTTAACCTGGTCATCCATGATGGCATCAACATCTTTTTCTGAGAGCTCCTGTCCTGAGGCGTCCAGGTCCACCTGGTCTGGGTCTTCTCCGGTCAGGATGTCCATCGGGGCCTCAGCGATGGCTCTGATGGTCTGGTCCTCCAGGGCCAGGGCCGTGTCGAACTGTAAGGGGGACGGAGGACCCTGCATGCCATCCCCTTCCACATCCAGGTCCTGTACAACAGCAGATAGTTATTACCTAAAACTTTCAGTTACATTTTATTTATGTTTACACTCCTATGTGTTTGTACTTCATTTAAAACATCAGACAATACTTCAACAGCAAATGTGAAGACCTGTGATGAATCAGAACTTTTGATCATCTACAAACTGGACTTTTATTGGAAGCAAGCGTCACAGCGTGGACGTTTCAGGGTTAGAAATCACTACACTGGTCTAAGATATAAGAGAGAAAGAAGTCTTAAAGACACCAGTCTTAGTACTTCGCTTTAGTCTGGAGAAAACAAAACCATTACAGAGTTCTGCCTTTTAGTTCTGGTTCAGTTCGTGTTGCTAATGACTTTTTACAAACGAGCATCCTGCATCCTCACCGCCACTCTCTGTTGCCATGACTCCCAAAAGGAGATTACATAAATATTTATCACTCCTGATAATTCACAACCAGATGAAAGTAACAGTTCAGTTGTCATTAATAACTATCACACAGCAGACTGAGATCAGACTGACATCCTCCTTTACTCCTGTTGGTTCTGTTTTCCCCTTTTGCCGGGGGCCGTTTGATACCGATGAGTGGAAACTGTTGGTGGCAGCTGGAGGATGAAGTGAGGTCTGAGTTTAGTTCATGGCCATGTTGAGAAGACCGGACCATCTTCAGGACCTACTTCCTGTGCTCCTGTTCAACCACCGGGTGGAGCAAGTGTTCTCACACGCGTTCTTTTGAATTAATGCTCACCGATCGTTATCAGCTGATATTGGCTCTAAACAGTTCAGTTACATGTAGTTTCTTTATTTGGGCTGTCTGTTATATTAACTGTCACTGACTCATTGTAGCATTACTGATCGGAGCCTCCTTATTTAAATTATGTGAAACGTTTGTTGAACTGAACCAAAGAAGTTACAGAAGCTGTGAAAGCACCCTCAGTCACCAGCAGCAGAGTATCTAACGATAAGTGTAGAACGTGACATGTTTTGTTATAATGCATATATATTAGAGGAGAGTGGCAGGGGACACAGTGTCTACATACATCACTGAACTCTAGGGGAAGGCTCTCTGTGGGCTGAAGCTCTGCTGCACTCAGATACATGTCTCTGCTGGCAGTCGTGAGCTGTTCCTGTGGCGGAGGTTCCTGCTCGGGCTGGTACATGCAGGGAGGCAGGGTGAGGTGAAGCGGGCAGCGAGGGTCGTCAGACTGACCCATGTGCACGGTGCGGTCGCACGGGACATCTTTCAGGCCTGGACACATTTTGAAAAGCACCTGATTGCTGTCTTGGTAGATGTCTGAGTGCGTGGTCGTCAAGGACAATGAGACACAATGTCCACACACAAACACAAACAAATCACCACAACAACCAGACAGATAAAGGAAACTGCTCCCATCTC